TTAGACTGTGACCTTGCCCATGCAAATGTGTCTTGCAAAGGGCATCCCCTGATTCCCCAAAGGCAATTGGATAACTTTGAATATTATGCACAACTAGCGGTGTGCTTTAAAAATATACAGTGTGTATCTATGTATATGATGGATATATGTATAATCTAGGGACCATCCACACCAGTGGGTGCCAGTAGGGGCTTCTTGCTTTATTGAATGTTTTTAAAGAACATTTCATTCAACTTGAGTAAAAATGCATACAGCCAGCACTGGGAACAGGACACCTAAAAATATATTGTTTTCTTTGTTGAGCCTGCATTGATCAATGCTGATTACTGCAGCTTAACACGCCTGGTTTGAATGAGCCCTAGAACAAGGAAGTCTGGAACACTGTTTCACAATTGTATAGCTCTTACAGTAAAGAACTCTCTCATGTGGAATTTAAAGTGACCCTAATCTCAGGGGTTTAATCTTTGAAAAGCATTCAATGTAACTATCAAGAAAAGTGTCTGTGTATCACTTGGCTGTAGATCCTCCAATCATCTCTGAATGGGTCCTTCCTTCTAGAGGGTGGCTACTTTTGTTCCCCATTTTCCCTGTGTGTGTTGCAGAAGTAGTCACCGCTCCAAGCTCACTCCTATGATGGACTACAATCTCATGTTTAGTTTCCTATTTGTATTGAGATTGTAGTCCATCACAGGAGTGAGCTTGGAGCGGTGACTACTTTGCAACACACACAGGGAAAATGGGGAACAAAAGTAGCCACCCTCTAGAAGGAAGGACCGTGTCAGAACCCATTCAGAGATGATTGGAGGATCGCCCAGTGATACACCAATAATACATTTTGCTTCCATTTGCGGTCTCCGCATCGGGTGACGAACACAACTGCAGCCATCTTCCCTGCTCTGACACATGTTCTTGGCTTCCTCTAGTCAAGATCACAGTTTGATTAGGTTCGCGACCAATTCGGTTTGCAACCAGAATCGTGGAACGAATTAAGTTTGTGAACCGAGGTAGTTCTGTAGTTAGAAGTTAAATCATAAGGCTGGGTTCACACCTAGACGATTCAGATGGCGAGCTGTTTTTGTGCGTTTTCAATTACGCAACTGTTCATTGAAAACCACGCGGTTGTCGCACCGTTTTCAATGCATAGAGATGTCTGGGACAACCGGGCGAAAATCGCTTCTGCACCTTTTCGCGCGACAGGTGATTTCGGCCGCGCGACAAACCTCAAAGGTGTGAACGGAATCGATTGACTTCAATGTGAATCTGTATTTTGCGTGATATTGCGTGATGCAATCCGTGCGATAAATTGCCTAGGTGGGAACCTAGCCTAAAAGTGCACTTACCTTGAGTTTAGTTTCTTTTCTTCTCGGAGTCCTCTTGTCTTTTGTGTGACCTTTAAAGTGAATTTTAGTTTCATGAAAAATTTGTAGTAGTTTGTTTTTTTTGCAGTAGTTTTTTTGTGCGTGATGTTCATTTGGTTTTCTTTCTTCTCCTTCTAGTAGACTGAGAAAACTACTTGAAGTTCTCTGCAAATTTTTCAGCACTTGAGCAAAATGAAGCAAGCTCCTCACATAATAGAAAACCCAACTGTGAAAGCCGCCGGTGTGGAGATGAGTCGGGAGTGTTCTGTGTTCCTGAGCAGAACGCCGATTTCCACCTCCGTACAAGAGGGGGTCATACAGAAGCTAAATGGCCATGATGCGCTGCCTTTCCTTCCAACCGAGAAACTGAAAGACCTGACTTCCCGGGTATACAACGGAGAGTCCGGCGCTCACGAGGCAGATGTGCCAGTTGACTCCCAGGAAGCTCAGGGAGCTGAGACTCCACAAAACACAACTCCCACCAAGAACGGCTCGCCAGAAATCAAGCTGAAAATCACCAAGACCTATATGAATGGGAAACCTCTTTTTGAGTCTTCCATTTGTGGTGAGCAAGGGGAAGAAGCGGCTAAACCAGAAGAAAATGAAAGTAAAAACAAGAAAGAGAGGAAGCGAAAAAGTATAAAGTTTGAATCCTCTGAAGAAAAGTCCAGTGAAGGAACTCAAGCAGAATCTGTTCCTGCTGAATCATCTGAAGAAAATGTGTAAAAAAGGAGCCAATTCTTTGAGCCGATGCTTGTGAACAGGATGTAAGCATGGTCGTTTAATGTGGCAGACCTTCTCATTCACCATTAGGGAGGCCCGGAAGGTTCAAGTTAAAATGGGATTCAATGGGGGGAATTTATCAAAGCACTTGCGACAGCTTTAGCCTCTTAGATCATTTTTTTTTAATGTGCAAATCTGTCTTTTAACATGTGCCCCGTGTTTTCTTCAGAGCTTGCACTACTTTTTCAACCATGTTTTTTTGCACTTGTTCTGGGCTGTCTAAAACTGGAGCATCACCTCACAACTTGTGGAGCAAACACTCACAACTTAAGAAGTCCCCATGACCACTTCTTCAGAATTCGACAGTTAAAGGAGAACTATGAGGTGAGTGCTTTTCACTCACCTCATAGTTCAAGCCGACCTGTGACAGACTGTCACAGGTCGGCTCAGTAGATCGGGAAGTGAGCGAACACATACTGGCGTTCACTCACCTCTCGATCCTGTCACAGCCCTCTGCTGTGACAGGGGAGGGGCTGGATTCCCCCCTCCCATCTGCCAACGCTGACTGGCGGATCGGACGGGGGAGGGGGCGGGTACAGCTGGCTCTGCCTCTAGATAGGCAGAACCAGCTGTCACTCACGCAGCTGGGCGGATCCAGACATAATTGTCGGGATCCGCTTCAGCTGCGGCGTCTCAGTATATCGCGAGCAGTGGCGAGATGTAGCTCGCGTTATACTTGGCTTAGGGTGACGTTATGACGCTAGTTTGTGTCCTCCCGTTACCCTAAGGAGAACTATGGGGAAAAGCCTTAACCCCATAGTTCTCCTTTTAAGCTATTTGCCTGAAGATAGAAGTCTTCTTTCCTGGAGTCTATTAAATCTCATTTATCAACAACATTACACTAGCTTGATAAATCTGGTGCAAATATATTCCGTGCAAGTTCAAACGCTCGCAATTGCTTCGATTAAGTTTCCCCCAATGTCTTTTTTATTTTTTCCATCATGAATCCAGGGCAAGCAAATATACGTTGCCCAGCAAAGCCTGTCACCATACAAGCGATCCGCCGGCTGTAGAGCCGGCGGATCGCGTGTATGGGGTGCCGAACGGTCCCGTCCCCCCTCTGCGCCCGGGATCAGCATGTCGCTTGTGACACGGGATCAGAGAGAGTCACATATTTTGCTATCACTTAGAGGGGTTTTGATTAGCCCCCGTATGTGATAGCAATAAAGTTTAGTGAAAAAAATGTAGACATACAACCTAGGTTGCCTGTATAGTTAAGAGCAATATAAACTGCTACAGTACCTGCGCGTTTACTTTTATGGGAAGATTGTTGTTCAAAAGGAATAGTGTGGCAACAGGATCTCTTTAAAACTGAACTTTCAGATATTGTTTAAAGCAACACTGTCTACTTTAAAATATCCAGATTCCAGTCCTCTGCAGAAGAAGAGGTTGTATACTTGCCTCTCTAGGCGAGCCCATGTCTCCTGCTTATACTATCTTCCAGCCCGGCAGCCTAGTCCGTCTTTAGCATTCAATGCTTCTGGTAATGTCCCATGCTTGTGTCCCCTGCTACATGCCCTGGTTCCATGCTTTTAAGGCTTGTTTCACACCATTTGCAAGTGCAGTGCGTTTTTGATGCGTTCCGGTGCTTTTTTTTAAAGCTTAAAATGGGCTTTCAGGTACAGTCCAGTGTGTTTTGGTGCGTTCCAGACCAGAAAAAAATAGCGTATGCAGCATTTTTTTTTTCACACACCAGAAAAGACTGCACTAGTGTGAACAGAGCCCAGAAATACCCGTAGGAATACATTGGGATGCATTTCCAGTGCGGACAAAAACTGATCTGGTCCGGACATGATGTGAATGTTGAATGTCAGAGATGTTGGTGGATGTATTGCTGGAATTGAGGGAAGATAGTAGACTCGGGCTATACAATACCTCCTCTTTTGCAGAGAATTGTAATTTGTAGTTTGTTTGTAAGAACCGGGTTGCTGTAAGGCTAAATTGTGGCAAGTATTTGTCGTGGGCTTTTTTTATGTCTGCATGATGTATGCATTGGCAGTGAATAGGAAGCATCCAGTGTCTCCCAGATCTGTACTGATTTGGCTTTGTTTGAGGAAGTCCTTGCAGGCTCGCTGTGTTTTATGGCCTTGCATTTTCCTGCATTATTAATTATCGGGGAATCCTGAAAAAGTAATTCTTGGCCACAATCAAGTAAATTGTTACTTTAATTTCCTATTGCGGGTTTATGTTGTGGTTTTATTAAGGTCTTTCTGCTGACTGTTTCGTCCAACCCAATTTTGTGATTTTTTTTATTTTTATTTTGAAATGTAGTATATAAAATTAGTTTGTTTAGACATCTAGAGGGCCGCAGTAGTGCTTGCTGGGTAAAAAGCCTTACATGAACTCGCTTTAAATTTGTCCTGTTTTACCATATTGTGAAGCACACTGGGTCACTGTAATTGTCCGCCAATGAACTACACTGAGGGCATTGGAGGCGGAGCCTGTATTTCTCTCAATTTTTTCTTTCATGTGAATTGATTGTCTGCTTCAGAAGAGTTGTAATATTCATTGTGTAGCATGGGTGGCTCACTTATTGCTTTTATGAGTTGCCTGGCTTTCTTTTGTGTCCATTTAGGCTGGCCATACACTGAATATTCTTTTCCTCATTCAGGCAATCTATTAAACCCCTAAATGCTGGTGTGTTGGGGTTCCATTCACAGTGCACTGCATCGTAGCACACCAGTGCATGTTATGTGCGTTACAATATTCTGCGTGAATAGTCTGTTAAAGCCTTGGTTCTCAACTGGTGGTCGTGACCCAAAAGCGGGTCACAACCTCATGTTCAGTGGGTCCCTGCATGCCTTCACCTTTTCTAGGTGAGAGGCTCCTCAGCCTCCCCCTAGCGCAGCACCGTCCATTCTCATACCAAGCAGCCATTCAAAATATGCTGCCTGATACCTAGTGTCAGCTTGAGGTGGAGTGGGCTAGGGCTATGGCCACGAGGGTACCTCCATCCATAAGTGCAATGCTTACAGCTCCCTTGTGTGTCCTGTAGAGGTGCCTGGACCGGAATGGTCTAACATTCTAACTCCTGGCACTTCTACAGGGTGTGCAAGGGAGCTGTACAACTGGATGCACATATGGATGGAGCTCCATCACAGCACAGCAGTCCAGCAATGGATCCCAGGCTGAGGATCCACTCCAGTTCTCGTAAGGTAGGGAGACTGGGTGGATTTTTAAGAAACAATTTTTTTTTTTTTGTGGAGTGCGTATGTGTGTGAGAATGTCTGTGAGTGTGTGAGATTATGTCTGTGTTTGTGTCTTGTCAGTGTTTTTGAGAGCCCGTTCACACCAGTACAGTGCGTTGATCACACGTTCTGGTGTGAGAGGTTCATTGCATTGCCATTCAACCCCAAACGCATCCCCCACCCACAGTTCTATTGCCCGCATCAGTACCGCAATGCCCTGCGTTCCATTGCAGTGCAACTTGGGTCATTACCTAATGACCAAGGACAAATGTGGGTCCTGAGATTACACAGGTTGAGAACCACTGTCTTAAAGGAACCCAAACAATTACATATTTTCTGAAAGCAGAGGCCCTGTAGAATAAAAAGATGCTAATTGCAATTTTTTATGTCACACGGTATTTGCGCAAATTTTATCAAACAAGTATTTTTAGGATAAAATGCACTAAAATGAAATTTAGTGCACAGAAACAGAATATAATGCCCAATTTTTTGGTAAAATATAAAAGACAAGGTCCCTACGGATACATAGATACCAAACATGTCAAGCCTTAAAACTGCGTGCGTCTGTGAAAACGCAAAAAAACTACAATAACCAAAATTTCCCATAGGCAACGCTTTAAGCGCTTTTACGGCTCATCAGTTTAGTGCTAACCGTGATTGATGGGCCCAGAATTATTGCTCTCACTCCTGTGGCACAATTTTAGTTTTTGCACGTAGGCGCATCCTACGCGTGTTTGCGTTGTATGTGCGTGCACATGGTGGACTTTAAAAAAAAAAAATGTTTCATTTTCTTTTATTACTTTTAATTTTAATTTTATTTTTGTACAGTTTTATTGCTAACACATATGGGGTTAACAATCCCCCTCTGTAATAGCAAATATAATGTGCTATAACTGCTGTATGGGAGAATGTGCTTGCTATAGGCTTAGCTGCCATTGGCACAAACCACAGGAGAACATCCTTCCTGGTTGGTTGGTGATAGAGTAGAGTTTGCTCAGACGGTTTTGCAGTTGGCACAAGAGGAAGGCGAGTTTTGAAAATGCTTTTTCTATGGTATTTCATGACAGTCAGCGGTGCATTGAAAAATCACTTTTGCTATACCAACTTGTTTTAAATTTGTTCTATTGTGAAGTTCTCTCGCAACTATCGCATAATTGCCTAAAGATGCTGATTTTACATTCTTTACGTGTTAAAATTGTGGGCCTTACATTTATTGGCCTGACTGAATTCAGGGACTTTAGCCCTCGTTCACACCTGAACGTTTTGTAGCGCGTTCTACGCTCGACGAACGCTCTACAAAACGCTCAAAAATATAAATCCCATTGTATTCAGTGGTCTCGTTCCCACCTTGCCGTATTTCCGCCCGTCCCTAACGCGCTACAAAACGGCCCACGCCTGAAAATGTACATGTACTACTTTGGGCCGTTTTGTTGCGCGTTTCCATTGGGATACAGCCAAGTAGCCTACGGTCACGCGACTTTTTTACCGTGAATCGCGCTAAAAAAACGCGCGGCAGACGCGCATATGCAATACGCCTAGGTGTGAACGAGACCTTAGAGCTTTGTCCGTGCCTTTTGCTACCCTAACCCCTAGTCCCCCTTTTCTTCTGGGTGTGAGGGTGCATGTGACCTCCCATAATGCAGTTCTTGGGCCTAAACACTGTCAAATAATGGAGGGTTTAACATTGTCAACTTTGTGTAAGCAGAGCTTACATGGGGTATTTTTGAAGTGAGTGAAGAACTGCAAGAGCGAGTGTAAGTGGTTTGACTAGCAAGAGACATGAGCAAAATTGCTATTGAGCTTTGGACAGGCAGTTTCCTCCTAGGCTAATCTTTTCTCATATGTTTCGAATGTTTCCTTCCATTATGGTAATAATTTCTTCTTTTCCAAAAGTCTGTTTCAGATCTAGATACGTCCTTTGAGCAGAAAGAGCACAGTGAAATTCCATGTAAATTCTCAGTTGGAGATCTGGTATGGTCTAAAGTCTCCGGATATCCATGGTGGCCATGTATGGTGACATCTGATCCAGTTCTTCACAGCCACACCAAGATCAAGGGTAGGTTCTGCCTTGTTGCAAGCCGCCACAGTAGTTATGCTTGACAAGCTTTCCTATAAGCCGAGTGAACGCCCTTACAACTGTTTATATTGGTGTGTGTGACTGTAATGTTTGCATTTAAGTCTTGGCTTGGCTGTGGAATGTTACTTTTTACCTAATATTGGAAAATTCGAGTTCTCTGTTCAAAGTGGTCATTCTAAATGAGACACTGAGATTGTGGGCCTGAAATCATTTTTGTTTTGTGAGCAAGATGACCCTATAGAAGAGTCCTCGCACCTAGTAAAGCCTGCAGAAGACAACCAGGGTAGCAGTACTGTGATAACCTGATTTTGCATTTACTTGTTTTATTGTACCTATAAATACACAAAAGAAACCAATATGGGACCCGTTTCACTTGCCAGTAGATTTATGTATGAATGTGGTTCCCCCATCCCTGCTGTTTAAGATTAGGCCCTCATCCACAGTCCTGCCTCCTATTTGCTGTTTAGTCAGATAATAAGCAGAAAAATGTGGGCCATGATTATTCTGACTTCATTGCCTTCAGTAAGCCCAAACAAATCTCCAGAGCAGGCACACCCACTGCAAGCCTGAATGTATTTCTTAGCAAGTTTGTAAATCAATGTAAGCCTATATAAGGTACATCCTTGAGAATGTTAGTTCCACCATTACTGTTGATTACTGCTAGTGAAGTTATATGCTTTCCATTTAATTACAGGTCAGAAAAAGAGCTTTCGACAGTATCATGTGCAGTTTTTTGGAAATGCACCGGAAAGAGCATGGATTTTCGAAAAGAGTATTGTGCCTTACACTGGAGAACATGAGTATGAACAGCTGTGCCAGGAGAGCGCTAAACAGGCAACAAGCAAAGCTGAAAAAGTCAAGGTGGGTACTGCTGACCTGTGACGCAATAAGGTCATCTCAGGATGTACAGAATAGGTCCAAATCCTTTGCAGTTGTCTCGTATGAGATGCACAGTCCTTTTTCTAAGAGCTCGTAATAACTCCTGCATCTAAATTAATTGCACCATTATTTGTTTAAACATTGATATAAATGCAATAATTAAACTTCTTTGTGTAGGAGACCATACTTATTTCTCAGGTGCCTTCAATGAAAGTATATGGCTAAATTATTTTATTTTTAAGCCTTGCATAGTGTGAATGGGTTACAACCTCTTAGGCTGGGTTCACCCCTAGGCGTATTGAATATTCACGTTTGTCACGCGTTTTGCGATGCGCGGTAAAAAAAAGCGCGACAAACGCGCGTTTCCGAGGGCTACTTGGCTGTATCCCAATGGAAACGCCCCAAAGAAGCTCATGTACCTTTTCAGGCGTAGGCCGTTTTGTAGCGTGTTCAGACGGGCTGAAATATGGCAAGGTGTGAACCATACCCATAGAAAACAATGGGATTTTCAAGTTTGTACGTTTTGTAGAGCGTTCATAGAGCGTTGGAACGCGCAACAAAACGTAAAGGTGTGAACAGGGCCTTAGGTTGTTATTGCCATCTCTGTCCCTGCTAGGTAGATTTCTTTCTTGTCCACTCAGTAAGCCGTTCACCCTCGGGTTATACTGCCACCTACACAAGGATTAGACACTGCCAAAAAAAAAACCACCAGGCAAACCAAGAAAACCCATCCTATGTGCCAGCATGCCATCAGTTTGTTGCAGGTGTCTGAGGAGGATAGACATCTTTTCTTCAGCTCTTCTGTGTTAAAGACTAGGCTATTTTTTTCTAGCAAGACTCTTCTCTAGACTGCTGCTGGAGCTAGTATCCATAGTTGCAGCTATCTAACGTGGCTGTCCCTGCCTGGCTTTTGAAGTGTTACACCTGGGTCCTGCTGGATTGGATGTTGCAGGAATTGCCTGGAAGTGCCCTTCAGTTATGCATATGGTGCTTTCCAGACCCCATTCTGTAAAAAGTTAGCCATGGATCGCTTTTTAGTTTCAGAACCATTAGCATTGCCTCAGCACTTTTGTCTCTGAGAACTTGCTTTGTAAGTGGGCTGATCGGGCCGAATATCTGGAGAGCTACCTTAAGTGCATAGGTGGGCACCACAGGTCCCACTCCCCCTGTACTTTATCATGCTCTTGGTAATGCTTTGTTACAAAATTGAGGGATGCTGGGATAGGGTATTCTGGGCTTGTCCGCAGTTTTGTTTATCAGTCTGCAATCCTCCTGTAGGCGCAGCAAAGGTTAAACTTCCTGTGTCCCTCAACGGACTCCCCATAGTGTTTGTTGGAGAAGCCATTTGATTACAGCGGCTATTTATTTTTTGGTGTAAAACCTTTACAGTAATGTTGTGTTTTATTTTGAAGCTTTCTAATTTTCTGGTTTTTATTCTACAGCTTTTAAAACCAATAACTGGCAAATTGAAAACACAGTGGGACATAGGTGTGCAACAAGTGAAAGAAGCCATACAGATGACTGTCCAGGGGAGGAAAGAAAAGTTTACTTTCATTTATATTAAAGACCGTCCCCATCTTAATCCTAAAGTGGCTGGAGAGGTTGGCATTCCTGCCGAGTCCTGCCAGGACGACGAGTCAGATGAACCTGTCGAAAGCCCTAAGAAAGATGACGGAGTGCCTAGCAAAAGGAGAAGAGTGTCAAGGAATTCTGCCAACTGCCAAGAGACTGATCCTGATTGGAAAACCACTACTGAAAGCTCGGATACTAAAGGAGCCATGACCTCGCCTGTCCAGAAAAGGAAGTCAGGAGCACATAATGCTAAAGGCCGGAAGGGAGATGCTGCTACTCAGTTCCTGGTGTTCTGCCAGAAGCACAAAGATGAGGTTTGTCTTGCATGCAAATGTTTTTAATAACTTTATTATGTACTTGGTGTTGATTTGACCACGGCTTCTTTACACAGTTAGAAAAATTGGTCCTTCACAGGGTAATTTTTTTTTGTTTGTTTTTTTGTTTTGTTCCTGAACAGGATGCTTAATCTTAATGTACCAGGAGGTCAAATGTTGGAGACCACTGGCCCAATAAAAGTTTCACAATGATAACACCCCAACTCCGACCGACATCTGTACTCCAAAGTTTCTGACACGCATCAGATAGGAACTATGGCGCTCCAAATGGG